TTGTATTTTGTAAGACTTGCTTTGTGACCCAATGTGTGATCTCTCCTGGAAAATGTTCTGTCTGCACTGAGAAAAATGTATGCTATGCCACTGTTGGGCAGGATGTTCCGTGTGGACCTGTGGGGAACATCTGGTCCACAGCGTTGTTAGGTCCGCTGACTTCCTTCTTCATTCTCTGTCTGGATGTGATCCGTTCTTGAAAGTGGGGTACTGAACTCTTCTACTGTTACTGTGCTGCTGTCTTTTTCTCCCTCGAGTCCGTGTTTGCTTTATATTTAAGTGCTGTGATGTTGGGTGCGTATATACTGATAACTGCCGCATCTTCCTGTTGAATTAACCCTTTCATTCTAGAATGTCCTTGTCTTATGGCAGTGTTTGCCTTAATGTTGGTTTTGTCTATCAAAGACACTTGTACTTAACATTCTTATTGAAGCACTATTCACAACAGCAAAGTTATGAAATCAACCTGGATGCCCATCCACAGTGGACTGGATAAAGAAAATGTGGTCTATATATACCATGGAATACTATGCAGCCATGGCAAAGAACGAAGCATGTCCTTTGCTGCAGTACGGATGTAGCTGGAGACCACCACGCTCAGTGAATTAACACAGAAACTGAAAATCAAATACTGCATGTTTTCACTTAAAAGTGGGAGCTAAATAATAGCTACACACAGACAAACATGGAAACAAAAGACACTGAGGACTCCAAAAGAGGGAGGTCAGGGGAAAGGTGTGAAAATCTACCCGTTGGGTACTGTGTTCACTATTTGGGTTATGGGTTCCATAGAAGCCCAAACCCCAGCATCATATAATACATACAGCCAGGTGACAAACCTGCACGTGTATCTCCTGAATCCAAAATTTTGTTTCAAAAAGAAATCAAAAGGAAATTTGAAAAATATCTTCAGACAAACAAAAAAACAACATACCAAAACCAGTGGATGCAGGAAAGCAGTACTAAGAGAAAAGTTTGTGGCACTAAACACCTGTAATAAAAAAGAAAACCTCAGATAAACAACCTATCTCTACACCTTGAGGAATGAGGAAAAAAAAAAAAAAACAACTATGCTCAATGTTAGCACAAGGAAGAAAATAATAGATTACAGCAAAAACAAATGAAATAGAGAAGAGAAAAACAATTTTAAAAAACAGCTAAAATTTTGGAAAAGATAAAGTTGACAAGCTTTTACTGGGACTAAAAAGGAAGAAGGAAAGACGGCTCAAATAAACTCAGAAATGAAAGTGTAGCCATTACAATCAATGGTACAGAAATTTTAAAATCATTTGACCATTATACACCAACAAATTGAATAATCTAGCAGAAGTAGATAAATCCTAAAAGAACACAGAATCTACCAAGACTGAATCATGAAGGAAGAGAAAACCTGAACAGAATCACAACTGGTACGATGATTAAATTAGTAATCGAAAATTTCCCAGCAAAGGAAATTCCAGGACCAGATGGCTTCACTGGTGAATTCTATCAAACATTTAAAGAATTAATTTCAATCCTTCTCAACTCTTCCAAAAAACTGAAGAGGAGGAAACACTTCTAAACAAATTTTAGGAGGCCAGCATTACCCTAATACCAAAGCTAGACAAGGATCTTACAAAAAAACAAACCAACCAACGAACAAACTCCAGGCTAATAACTCTGATGAATATAGATGCAAAAATCACCAACAAATATAGAAAATCAAATTCAACAACACATTAAAAGGAGTATACACCATAACCAAGTGAGATTTATCTTTTCCTTGCCTTCCTTCCAATCAGTATGGCTATACCACATTAACAAAATAAAGGGCAAAATCACAGGATCACCTGCACTGATGCAGCAACAGTCTATGACAAAATTCAACACCCTTTCATAATAAAAACTCTCAACAAGCCAAGAGTGGGAAGAAATTGCCTCGATATAATAAAAGCCATATCTGAAAAGCCCACAGCTAATATTGGTAAAAAACCGAAGGCTTTTCTTCTAATATCAGAAATGAAGCAAGGGTGACTACTCTTGCCACTTGTATTCAACACAGTAATGTAAGTCCCAACCAGAGCAATGAGGGGGAAAGGCGAACAAATAAAAGGCACCCAAATCAGAAAAGATGTAAAATTATCTCTGCAGATGTCATGCTCTTATATCCAGAAAACACTAAAGACGCCACAAGCTGTTAGAACTGCTAAACAAATACCAGCAAAGTTACAGGATACAACATACAAAAATTAGTTACACTTCTAAACACTAACAATAAACTATTAGAAAAAGAAATTAAGAACACAGGGAGGGGAGCATCATACACTGGGGTCTGTTGGGAGGCACTAGGGGAGGGACAGCGGTGGGTGGGGAGGTTGGGGAGTGATAACATGGGGAGAAACGCCAGATATAGGTGACGGGGGGATGGAAGCAGCAAACCACATTGCCATGTATGTACCTATGCAACAATCCTGCATGATCTGCACATGTACCCCAGAACCTAAAGTACAATAAGAAATATATATATTTTAAAAACCAATAATTTCACTTATAATAACATCAAAAATACTAAGGAACAAACTTAACCAAGGAGGCGAAAGACTTGCACATTGAAAACTACAAAATATTGATGAACAAAATTAAAGATACAAATGAATACAAGGACATCTCATATTCATGGATTGAAAAATTAGTAGTTAAAACAGCTATACTACCCAAAGCAATCCATGGCTGTAATCTCCATCTAAACAGTGGCTTTCTTTTTACAAAATTAAAGAAAAACCTTAAAATTCATATGGAACCATTATGAACCCATAATAGCCCAAATAATCTTGAAAAACAAAAATAAACCTAGAGACATCCACTTCTTGATTACAAAATGTATTGCAAAGCTATAGCAATTAAAACAGCATGGTGGCCAGGCACAGTGGCTCATGCCTGGAATCCCAGCACTTTGGGAGGCTAAGGCAGAAGGATCACTTGAGGCCAGAGTTTGAGACCAGCATGGGCAAGATAGAGAAGCCCCTTCTCTACAGAAAGAAAACAAAAAAACTAGCCAGGTATAGTGGTGAGCACCTGTAGTCCTAGCTACTCAGGAGGCTGAAGAGGGAGGACAGCTTAAGTCCAGGAGTTTGAGGCTGCAGTGAGCTACCCCACCACTGCAGTCTAGCCTGGGCAAAAGCCCAAATCCTGTCTCTAAAAAATCAAAAAACAAGTAACAACAACAAAAAAAAAAACCTAGCATGGTACTGACAGACATATGAGATCAACGGAACAAAATAAAGGGCTCAGAAATAAACTTACGGATATAAAGTCAACTGATTTTCAATAAAGGTGTCAAGAATACACAATGGAGGACAGATAATCGCTTTAACAAATGGTGCAGGGAAAGCTGAACACCCACAAGCAAAAGAATAAAATTGAACCTTAATCTTATACCATACACAAAAAGAAACTCAAAATGAATTAAAGATTTAAATTTAATATCTAAAAATGTTAAAACTCCAAGAAGAAAACATAAGGGAAATGTTTCAGGACTTGGTCTCTGCAATCATTTCTTGGATATGACACTGAAAACACAAGACAACAAAAGCAAAACCAGAGAAAATGAACTACGCCAAACTAAAATGCTTCCACACAGAAAATGTAACAACCGGCAGAGTGAAAAGGCAGCCTACAAAATGGGGGAAAATGTTTGCAAACCATTTATCTGATGAGGGGAGTAATATTCAAAATGTATAAAGAACTCCTACGCCTAACGACTATAGTTAACTGAATAATACACAAATAATAAACGGTTAATAAATAACCCAATTGAAAATGAGCAAAAGATTTAAACAGAAACATTTCTCCAAAGAAGACATACAAATGCCAAAAAATACATGAAAAGATGCTCAACATCACAAGTAATTAGGGAAATGCAGATAAAACACAATGATACATTACCTTGCACCTGCTGTGTGACTATTACCAAAATCAAAGTGACAAGTATTAGTGAGGATGTGGGGAAACTGGAGCCCTTGGGCACTGCTGGTGGGATTGTAAAAAGGTACAGCTGCTACGGAAAACAGTATGAAAGTTCCTCAAAAAGACAGAAATAGAACTACTAAATGATCCAGCAATTCTGTTTATGGGTATTTACCCCAAAAAACTGAAATCAGGATCTCAAAGAGGTATCTAGACTTCCACGTTCACTGCAGTATTATTCACAACAGCCAAGAGGTAGAAACAACCTAAGTGGCCATGGACAGATGAATGGATAAGCAAAATGTGGCCTATAAATACAATGAACTGTTATTCAATCTTTAAAAAGAAGAAAGCCCTGCCATATGCTACAACATGGAAGAGCCTTGAGGACATTATGCTACAGGAAATCGAGCAGTCACAGAAGGACAAGCGCTGTGCGATTCCGCTTAGTTAAGGGATGTAGTCAAGTTCACAGAAGCAGGAAGTCAAATGGTGGTTTCCAGGGACTGGGGAGGGGACACGGACAGCTGTGTTTAATAGGTGTAAAGTTTCAGTTATGCAATGTAAGTTTAGAGATCTGCCATACGACATTGTGCCTATGGTTAGCAATATTGTATTGCACTCAAAAACATTTGTTAAAAGCGATCTCAAGGTAAATGTTCTTACTACAACAGAAAACAATGAGAGTGAACGCATGCAGTGGGTAGACCAGCGCCTGGCATCCAGAGTGACCCCAGCACCAGGGATCTAGTGGAGGTGGTGATGCCAGAGTCTCCGGCCACACGCCACACAGGGTGGGGGAGCGTCCACCGGCAAGGGCTGGCACTCCACATGAGCTTTTGTTTTCATAAGCACATCGCACACAGAAGCGCTCCCGAATGTGAATGTGACAGCTCCCAGGGCCTGTCTGCTCCACACTTCTGGGACACTGTCCTGTTTGGTTTTAGAAAATTCCTGGGTCAGCCCTTAAAATGAGCTGAGATTGAAATCAGTCGACAACAGTGGAACATTAATTTCCTTTTCTCCAGTCACTTCTCAGAATCTTTAATATATGATGTGCTTGGGGGTGGGTGGGTGAGGAGGTCATAGACACTGTGGTGTCACTTTGACAGCTAGTTCCAAAATGCCCTCCCTGCAAATGTCCAGGGGGTTCAGGGATAATTGAAATCCACTGACGAAATCTCCTTGAAATCCCCTCCAATGATTTGTCTTCTCTGTATGAGAACGCAGCCCTCACCTCTTCTAGCCCCATGGCTCTCTGAACTGTCCTCAACGATTCATTTGTTCATTCATTATCATTCCTTCAGCCTCTTTTGCTGACTGGAGACCTCTGGGCCTGGGCTAGCTGTGCACCAGGAACACAGAGATGGAAATGCAGGGCCTGGGCCCACAAGGTTCTTGCAATACACGAGGAGAAGGAACCTCATAGGCAAAGACAAGCTGGGCAGGGGTGTCCTGGCAGAAACCTGAGAGACAGACAGTAGGAAGAGGAACTAAGAACAGCCAGGACAGCCAGGGTCGCCAAGAAGGCCCGTGGGGAGGGAAGAGAACGTGGAAGACAGACATTTAGGCAAAGGGGACAGGTCTGGAAAAGAAAACAAACACAGGGTGCCTTGTGCAGGGAGCCACATGCAATTCCACCTGGGCCCAGGCCAGAGCAGAAACAGCCATGAAGGAGAACGAGGCAGGAACTGAGTTGGGAGGGCCTTTGCGGCAGTGGTTCTTAGACCCTGCTGCGTACTAGAAACTTCTGGGAGGCTGGTTCTGTGTTGTTATTTTTAAATCCTTGGTAGTGAAGTACGATTTCCATATAATAAAAAGTACATATTTAACTACCAAGTTCAATGTAATTTGACAAATGTATACTAGTACAATCCACACAGAGAAAAGATAAAGCCAGTCCACCCGCCCCTAAACCTTCCTCCTGCCCCTTTACAACCAATTCAAAGCCCTCTCACCTCCTCAGGACAACAGGGATCTATCTGCTTTCTATCATGATCGAGTCTTGCCTATTCTAGAATTCATATACATGGAATCATAACAGCGTGTACGTTTTGTGTCTGGCGTCTTTCACCCAGCATGCTTTGTTGAAATTCATCCACGTTCTTAAGCGGAGCAGCGGCTTCCTCCTTGTTGCCAGCGGCAGTCCATAATACTATAACTATTGATTTATATATAGTTGGCTACAGGGGTTATTTCCAGTTTGCAGCTATTCTGAATAAAGTTGCAATGCACATCAAAGTACAAGTCTTACACAGGCATGCATTTTCATTTCTTCTGGGTAAGTACCTAGAAGTGGGTTTGCTTCATTGTACAGGACCTATATGTTTAACTTTCAAAGAAACTGATGAACAGTTCTACAAAGTAGCCACACCATTGCACACTGTCACCAGCACTACAAGTGCATTCCAGCTATCCCATGCCCCTGGTCTTCTGGGTGCAATGTGTGTGCAGGAGTGGTTTTCACTTGAATTTCCCCGAAAATCTGTGATATTGAGCATCTTTGCCCATGCTCATTGGCCAATCATTTCCTTTCCTTTGTGAAATGTTTGTTCACATTTTTGCACACTTCTAATTGTGTTGTTTTCTTGTTACTAAGTAATAAAATTTCTGCACCTATTCTTGATACAACAGCTACATTTTCAGCTCTAAATGTTGGATTTTGACCTTTTCCTTCCAGTCCTTTCCTCATTATATTTATGGTTTCCTTAAATCCTTCAGCATAACTCTAAGCATCACCTCAAAGTCCGTGTATGCTCACACCATCATCCTTATCATTTCTGAGTCTGCTCCAGCTGACAGGCTCCCCTGGCACCCCGCCAGTTCTGGTTCCTATCTTCCTGCTACTTTTGTAGGGCACTGTGAGTTTTCAGTTGTTGAATGTCTGAGTGTTACTGTCTTCCTTTAGAGGATGGGTCTCCTTTTGATTGGCAGCTAAGTTACCTGTGAACCAGCTCGTTCTTTCTGATGCCTGTTTTCCAGTCCTTTTAAGGCACATCTAGAGTGGCCTTCACACTGGGGCCAGGCTGCTGCTGGCCCTGCTACTAAGTAGGGGTTCTTCTGTGGCATCCAGAAGGCCTCAGGTGTCCTTTGAGGTGGCTCCCCTGGCTGCAAAGCTCTGGGATTCTTCCGTGCACAACTGCCTGGAGTTCTCTGCCTGCCTGCAGGGGTTTCACTCTCCCTGTGTTCAGCTTAGGATTCAGCAATGGCCCCAAGGTGATCTCCATGCGGACTCTGGAACTCTCTCTTTGCTGAGTTCCTTTCTCTTTAGTGTTCTGTCCCAGATTTCAGCCCCTCGGCCTCCTGCAAGCTGGCCTCTGCCCCCGCCACTGAGCAAAGCTGCCATTCTTAGCCATTCCACATCCCTACCCACCTCTACCCATGGGCACCACCGTACTGGCTTCTCTGACCTCAGAGACCACAGTGCTGTGCTGGGTAGGTTTTGTTTTTGAGGGGAGGGAGAATTAGGGAGAAAGGGTTTTGTCTATTATCTGACAACTCTTATCTAATTCACACGCCCCATAATTTTTAGTGGTTAGCAGCAGGAGGGTGGGCCTGGTACCAGCTGCCTCAACATGGCGGACCCAGGGCACTCTTAGAGATCTTAGGGCAAAGGCCATGTCCAGATGGGCTGAATCCTTAAGCTCTCCCAGTGATTCCAATATTCAGCCAATTTGTGAAAACAAGGCTTTAGGAGGGAGGGATCTAACGTTATAGGCCAGCATTTCCCAGTCACACTGTCACAGTCCAGGGAGACTGTAAACCATCCCCACCTCCGAAGATGATTCAGGCAGCCTGGCATGGGGCCTGGGCATTTTTTTTTTTTAATATCTTCAGATCATTCAAATCTAATGAGAAGCAGAATTGAGAAACAGATCTGTAGGCACTGGGGAGCCACTGGAAGATTTCAGAAACAATTAAGGCCAACATTTGGTTTCATACTGAAGTTGGTGTAAGCCCTCAATTTACAAATATTCTCTTAGCTCAGTGAGAGGGGCAAGGTGTTCCCGGGAAGACTGCCCTTCCCAAGGCATCCTCTCCTGCAGCTCTCGAGGCCACAATTTTAACTTTGATTCTTCTAATCAAGAAGCGGTTAGTGAATACCTAATATGCACCAGATGCCGTCTCGGAGCTGGCGATGGATACACAAGGCTGGTTCTCTGCCCTCAAGGAGCCCAGTCAAGCAGGAAGCAGGGGAGCAAGCAGAGGACCATGGCATAGTGAGCACAGTGCCACGGCTGCTCTGACAGGCTCGGCGGCATGCCATGGAGCCTTGGACAAAGGAGGTGTGCCCCATCCAGCCTCAGCAGTCTGGGAGGCTATTCCAAAAGACAGGCTGTCTGAGCTGGGCTCTGAAGGAAAATGAGGTGTAGATAGGGGAACGAAGTGGAAGCATTGGGCCTTTGGTCTAATCACAAAGCAGCAAAAATCCGAAACTTAACAGGCCGCAATCCTGGATGGAAGATGGAGCAGGTCAGAATGGAACAGCAGCCAGGGCCCATGCTGGGGAGGGCTTTGGAGACCTCTAATCCTGTCACTGACAGAGCACTGAAATAGATCCGCCCTGGTGGAACACCTTCTCCAGGGAGTTCTCCCACCACAGGCTTAGATACCAGGCCCACTGCAGCATTACAGGGAGCAGGATGAGAATACACACGGGGCCACGTACCATGCACCTCCACGTTTACAACTGCAAATCAAGCGAATCTCACAGCCCAGTGGGTCCCCCTCCCCTCTCAGGTGTGCGCACACACAAACACAAACATGCATAGCCAGGGGCCTCCCTGTACCTCACCCTTCTGCCCTGAGGGTAAAGGCAACATCTTCCAGGACCAGCCTGGCCACCTGGGAGCCTGAGGGGAGCACAGATCTCCAGGGCAGGACAGGACGGGGCCTGGGATGGACCTGCCTAAAACGAGGGTGGGCCTCCACCTTCCCTGTACACAGCAGCCTCTCTGCAGGGGCCTGTGCCTGTCATTCCCCTCCCTCAAGATCTCTGATGCTCGGTATTCCATCCCATGGGCATGATCAGACTTCAGCATAATCTCAGACATGGAATAAACCCACACTACTGAGCATGACATTTTGGCAGGACGTGTATAACCTGGATCCTGCCTGCTTTTCCAACTTCACCTCCTGTTTCTCTCACCCATTCCTTGGGTCCTGGCCATGTCCTCACCAGCCCCAGTGCCTTCACTCCAGCTTCCACTTCTCCCTGCTTCTTTCACTGGCCTCTGGGTCCCTCTTACTCTTCAAGGTTCGCCTTTGACAGCACCCTGAGAGAAGCCCTCCTTACTGCCTGAAAGCCCTGCTGGGCACTACGTTCCTGTTTCTAGCCTTCCCAACACTTGCCACCAGCCACGTTCCTGCTTTCCTGTCCACTTGCTTGTCTGCTCTCCCACTAGAAGATGAGCTCCTCAGGGGGCACAAATCTGACTTTATTCACTGCGTCATTCCCAGCACGCACAATGGCACACGCTAGAGCTCAGGAAGCTTTTGAGAAAGGAGGAGGGTCTTCATTCCATCCCCCTAATTCTGCCGCGCACCCACCCAGCACCCCAACTGTCACACACTACTTCTCAGAGCCAACTGTATTAGTCTGTTCTCACACTGCTATCAAGAACTGTCTGAGGCCGGGTAATGTATAAAGGAAAGAAGTTTAATTGACTCACAGTTCCACACAACTGGGGAAGCCTGAGGAAACTTACACTCATGGCAGAAGGTAAAGGGGAAGCGAAGCCAGGGACCTTCTTCAGAAGGCGGCAGGAAGGAGAAGTGAATGAATGCAGGAAGAACTACTGAACACTTAGAAAACCATCAGATCCCATGAGAACTCACCCACTATCAATGAGAACGGAGTGGGGGAAACAGCCACCACCATTCAATGACCTCCACCTGGTATCTCCCTTGACACGTGGGACTTACGGAGATGATCATCCACAATGAGCTTCGGGCGCGGGTGCAGAACCTAAGCAAGTCACCAACACATTTCAGTTTCCAGTCACTCCTCTGCGGCGCACACGGCCTCCCGCTTCCCACGCTGTCACCTCCCATTGCCAGCAGTCAATTCCCACAGACCTTTCATGACCCAAGTAACACGGTACCCACTTTGAGTAATAATCCTACGGCCATTTCATTCTTAGAGCTCCTAGCTGACTTAGTGTACTTCCCTGTTAGCATGTGGCGTTCCAAACAGAGCTCTAAACACATCAGACTGTGCCCTACCCGAGGCTACACCCCGAGGCCCAAGAAAAATGTCTGAGGAACGGATGGGTGAACAGAACAGTGAATGGCAATGGGGAAAATTCAGATTCCGATACTCAGTAAAAACAACGCCTGAGTACTAGTCACACTATTTCATGCATACTTTTCTCCATAAAAGATTTATTTCAGCAGGATGCTGAATTAATAATAACTAGAAAGAGTTCTGCTTTTGAGGAATTTCTGTGTGTTTCCTTAAGAGCGGGACTTGCAGGAGGGGTACGCATCAGATTTCTCCTGGTGTCTCCTAAGCAGCCCATGTTGCCTGCTCTCTGTCACCCTTTCAGGTTCACTATTTGCCCACCCCCTGGCACACCCCCCTAAACTCACAGCACATGGGTGGCCCTGCCTCCCAAAACGTGCCGGCCCCTGCTCTGCCTCTTCACTGAGGCTTCTCCTTCCCGCTAGCCAAAATTTGACTCTCTGTGGCAAGCCCTGCTAAAATGGCAGTTCTTTCATGAAGTCCTTCCTAGGAAAGATGAATTCCTTTTTTTCTGTGTAGCCATTATATTTCAAGCCATTTATCTTGCATGGTTTTTGTGACTCAATGCATCAGAACACCATATCTGTCTACAATGACATAGTCACATAATTAATTTTCCCAACTCGACTGTTACATTTGGCAGGAATAACAAATTTCTGTGCCAATTATACACTAAGCCACATGACCCTTTCCTAAAAAATATGAAGAATAGCATTGTGTTCATACAATAATGGGTTATGTGAAATGGTCAGATTTCTTTTACCTTTTCTGGTTTTACAAAATGGCATTCATTGATCTATACCTAGGGTTCTGTGTAACATGAGTCGGAGATTGCCATTTTAAGGGTTAAAAGGAAGCAAAAACAGAAAGTGCAGGAGCCACAAGAAGGCATTTTAAAACTGATGAAATAGAAAGGCTCTTAGGAAGCCGAACGCTAAAAGACAGTCTTTACCTCTACCTGATAGCATAGGTATTTGTGTGCAGACCGGGAGCTCCCGGAAGGCAAGAAGGATGTTTTACCTGTGAATTTCCCCTGTAGGGAGCACACGGTCTTCACAGAGTTAGAGAGGTAACAAAGCAAAGAGACACTGGCATGCATATTCTGGAGGCTTGAATGCTGGAGGGCTAAGTGCAGGGCAGGAAGCTGCCTGAAGAAAAGAAAACTTTAGATTCTTGCCCTGGGAACTGTACAAACATTAGCCAATGTTATCTCAGCAACATTATTCATTCCTGGCAATAGGATCTCTAGGAGGTATTTCTGTGTGACTGGTTTGGACACCAGATTAAAGAAAAAGGGTACAGTATGATGGCCTGGATGTGCCGCTAGGACACAAAAGGCTTCAAGGCTTCCCCCATTGACCGCAGGACTGTAAAGGTCTCTACCCATCCAAGCCTCCCGGAAGCATGTTTGTCCACGGGAACTGTAAGTGCAGTACATCTTCTCTACAGTGAGAGGAACGACCTCATTATACTCACACAGCGGTCATCTCCCCTTCCTAATGAGCATCGACTTTGCCCAAAGGAAAAGGTTGGTGATCTTGGCAGTAAATATCATCCCCTATATACCAAGGCAGGCTTTACCTCCATATGCTTAATACAGCTTGTATTGATAATCCTTCCCATTGTTACTTACCTTTCCACAATATTCCCTTATGCCAAAATCGAATCTAGAACAAGGCCCTAACTCTCCTTAATTCTATGAAACATGACAGAGACAAAGAAGCTGCAAACGAAACGCCTGAAGTGAGCAGAGGTTGGCTCACGAGGCTGAAGTAACGAAGCCATCTCCATAGCAAAAAAACAGTGCAAGGTGAAGCGGCAAGCGCTGATGAAGAGGCTGCAGGAGGACATCCAGGAGACCCCACTCAGCTCACTGAGGAAGGTGGCAACACCAGACAACAGATTTGCAATGCAGACAAAACAGCCTTCTACTAGAAGAAGATGCCATCTAGAACCTTCATAGCTGGAGGTAGAAGTCAATGCCTGGCTTCAAAGTTTGAGAGAACAGTCTGACTGTCACGTGAGGGGCTAAGGTGGCTGGTGACTTTAAGTTAAAGCCAACACTCATTTCCCATTCTGAAAATTCTAGGACCCCGATGAATGACACTAAATCTACTCAGCCTGTGCTTTTAAGTGGAATAACAAAGCCTAGATGACAGAACATCTGTCTATAGCATGGTTTCCTGAATATTTTAAGCCATCTGTTGAAGCCTACTGCTCAGGAAAAAAAAAAAAAAGATTCCTTTCAAATATTATTGGTTATTGACAATGCGCCGTGTCACGTAAGAGAGCTGATAGAGATGTCCAAGAAGGTGAATGTTGTTTTCAAGCCTGTTCACACAGCATCCATTCTGCAGCCCACGGATCAAAGAGTCCTCAGGATTTTGCAAACATTGGCCAATGTATCTTTACATGTAGATGTATTCTTTAAAAAATGCAGTCCATAAGGCTATAGCTGCCATAGATAGTGATTCCACCGATGGATCTGGGCAAAGAACACTGAAAACCTCCTATAAAAGATTCACCATGCTAGATGCCACTAAGAACATTCACGATTCCTGAGAGGAGGGCAAAATGGCAGCATTAACAGGAGTGTGGAAGAAGCTGATTCCAATCCTCATGGATGACTTTGAGGGGCTCAAGACTTTGGTGGAAGAAGTAACTGCAGATATGGTAGAGATAGCAGGAGAACTAGAATTAGAAGTAGAGCCTCACGATGTGACTGAATTGCTGCAATCTTATGACCAAAGTTGCACAGATGAGGAGCTGCTTCTTATGGATGAGCAAAGAAAGTGGTTTCTTGAGATGGAATCTATTTCTTGTGAAGAGTCTGTGAACGATGTTAAAATGACAACAAAGGATTTAGAATATGACATAAACTTAGTTGATAAAGCAGTCGCAGGGTTTGAGAGGACCGGCTCCCATTGTGAAAGAAGTTCTACAGTAGGAAAATGCTACCAAACAGGATGGCATGCGACAGAGAAATCTTTAGTGAAAGGAAGAGTCCACTGAGGCAGCAAACTTGGTAGCTGCCTGCTTTTAAGAAATTGTCAAAGCCACCCCAGCCTTTAGAAACCAACCGGCCTGATCAGTCAGCAGACGTCAGCAAGGAAGCAACACCCTCCACCAACCAAAAGATTACAACTCATGGAAGGCTCCAATGATCATTTGCATTTTTTAGTAACAAAGCATATTTTAATTAAAGGATATACATTTTCTAATCATAATGCTATTGCATACTTAACAGACTATAGTGTAAACGTGACTTTTATATGTACCGGGAAACCAAAACCTCCGTGCGGCTCTCTGTATGGCAATACTCGCTTTATTTATTTATTCATTTATTTATTTTAGGCAGAGTCTGGTTCTGTCACCCAGTCTGCAGGGCAGTGGTGCTGTCACCGAGTCTGCAGGGCAGTGGTGCGATCTTGGCTCACTGCAACCTCCGCCTCCCGGGTTCAAGCAATTCTCCTGCCTCTGCGTCCCAAGTAGCTGGAATTACAGGCATGAGCCATCATGCTGCACTGATTTTTGCATTTTTAGAAGGGGCAGAATTTTGCCACGTTGGCCAGGTTGGTCTCAAACTCCTGTCCTCAGGTGATTCACCCGCCTTGGCCTCCCAAAATGCTGGGATTACAGGCGTGAATCATCGAGACCGGCCTCACTTTATTTTTTTACTGCTGTGGTCAGGAACGAAACCCATGCCATTTCTGAGGCGCACCTGTATTTTTCTCCTGATGTAGGTAAACAGCTGACAGACATGTGACTCTTTTTAAAATTATTATTATACTTTAAGTTGTGGGGTACGTGTGCAGAACGTGTAGGTTTGTTACATAGTATACATGTGCCATGGTGGTCTGCTGCATCCACCACCTTGTCATCTACATTAGGTATTTCTCCTAATGTTATCCCTCCCCCATCCCCCGACTCCCTGCTATCCCTCCCCTAGCCCCCCCCCCCTCACAGGTTCCGATGTGGGATGTTCCCCTCTCTGTGTCCAAGACATGTGATTCTTGTTGATGACATCCACCACTGACAAACAGGAGGGAGACAAGTGGGGTGCAGAGTTTGCAGCAGCACTGTGTAAGCCCCAGGAGACCTGAGCCTGTGTGAAGACAGACACTGAGGATGCCGGACGGTCATCGGCGGCTGTGCGGTGTTTAATGTCACTCCCCCAAGGTCCATACAGTGAATATCTCTTGAATTGCAGCGAGTTGAACTGAACTAAGTTGATATGAGCTGGGGCAAGACCCTTGAGAGTCAGAATGCAGGCAAAATGAAATGTCTGTCTGAGAAAATGACTACCAGAAGTTTTTATTTGGTTTACTCTAGACTACCATTTGTAAATACGTCAATGTAAATAAATTAATCAGTGAGTAATTACATGCAGCAGGCAATTCTCCACTAC